ACAGCTACTGTAATTTAGGCTAGAGCCAGTGAAACTACTGGAGTACTAGCTCATTCAGCCAGCATACGGCTCCAGAAAAAGGGCTGAGATTGATTATATGTGTATTTATTAAGTTCCAGTGATGCAAACAGGATATTAGCATAACTGGGTCAATTATTTGGCAATCAGCACATGTGTGCCTGGGAGGAAAGCATGTGCATATATCTGCTGTTTTTGTGCTGCTGAACACATCACCTGCTTGGAAGAGAATAAATGTGTTTATCCCAGTGCTAAAGAAAGAGAAAAAAGAACAAGTCAACCTTCCAGAGCTAGCTGATTATGCATTTTCCACATCAAATTGTCAGCATTTATTCAATTACTTCACTCATTACAAGTGTGTTCTTCAACCACTAACCTAAAAACCCTCCCTGCTGCTGTCAGCTCCATTAGAAGTGACACGTTCCTTCCTCGGGTTAAAAAGAACTGGTGGAAAGCATCTCCTCCTCCCCACGTAGGGCTCAGGGCTGCGAGGAAGCAGAGCTGGGTGGGAAGGGGTGGGAAGCTCCTTTCCCCATCACCCGGGGCTCTGTGGGAGGCTGGGGGGAAGCTCTGGGGCTTTTTGTGGGAATCCTCCCCATTTTTTAGCCAAATGGAGGGTCGAGGTGAGCCCTCCGTGGGGTTGTTTTTAAAGCACACACACGCTCTGAGGCAGGGATTAGAGGAATTCACAGGGCTCTGTCAAGGATACGTACGAGATCCCCAGAGCCAAAAATGTATAGTCTCAACCACTTCCATTTTAATAGTAAGTTAAAAGGAAAGTTTCCCTTCTGAGGGGTTGTTAATTATAGATCCCTCCTTCAAAAGCTCCTCCTGTTTTTATCCATACTTACTCCCCCACAGCTGGTGAAGATGAGGAAAGCTGTACCTTCCCCAAAATCAAATAAATCTTAAATGCTTCCTGAGCTGATTCACTTGGCTAAGCTCTGATTTGATATATGAAACAAAAGACAAGGCAAAAGACAAGGCACAGAAAACAACATATTTTCCCCGTGTCAAGGTGAAGTGCTTCCCATCACCCAGCCAATCTCTCCTGGAGTTAATGTGCATCAATAACATTTAAATGATCAAAGTTTTTCAGCAAAGACAGTGATGGTTTTTTTTTTTCTGACTTGTCATGCTTGTTTTCCTTAAAGAGGCACTGACCTGCCGTGGTTAAGGCTTGCAGTTTGGCACGCAGGAGCATTTTGAGAAGCGTTATCTCCCTAGCAGAACAGCAGCCTCATGTTTCCCTGCACAACAACCTTTCTTAGCCTAAAATGCTTTGCATCCCATTTCCTTGATCTGGCTAAGTGCTTGCATGCTGAAAATCCCACCCTCCCTCCAGCTGTCCTTCTGGCAGGAACGAGACAGCATCTTCTCTCTAGAGAGTACAGTCACTGCTCCTTTGGTTATCTAATCAGGGAGGGCAAAATTCACCGAGGGCCCTGTAAAACCTTCCGAGCTGCAGAAATTGCATCTGAGGTCTTGTGCGTGAGGGTGCGAGCCAGGAGAGGCAGAGGGAAGCCTCCCCTCCCAGAGCAGATGCTCTCTGCCATCTCCCCAGTAGCTTGCACAAAGGAAGAAAAATTTAGAGTGCTCCAGGGACCGAGGCATTAGGCTCTTCCCTCTCCTGATCACTGGGTTTGTGCGTGCCAAAGAGCAGGGGGCTGGTGGTGCCTGCTGCTCCAGCCCGGTGGCTAGAGCGGAGGTGCGCAGGAAGGGCAAGAAAATAAATATCCCCCACCCACCCTCCTGGACTGCATGTACCAAAGCTGTCTGTTGCTCAGTTTCTCAGGCTTTGTGTGGGTTTTCCAGCATCTCTCATGTCTATGAAATATTATGCCTCTTCCCTCGAAAACATGGCGATTTTCTCTTTGCACCAAGCACGAGGCGAGGGAAAGCACAAACCTTCCCGTGCTGGCCAAGCCGGGGGCTTTCTGCACACCCACCTTACTGAGAACAAAAGGACAGCACCAGGTGGCGAGATGAGCCAAATCTGCGCCAAATCTGCCCCAAATCTGCACAAGGTCCAACCCAGCCATGTGACAGCCTTCCCTCCATCATCCCTAATGTCCCCCCAAAAAGCAGCTCTGGTCCTTGCCTCCCTTTTCCCTACAAGCCCCTCTCCAGAGCTGCTTGCAGGCTGCGCAGCCTGCCCGCAGGGAGAAAGCTGCCCCAAAATACTGGGATACTGGGGTCAGGCTGAGCTCTGCTTCTGTGATATTGCCTGAGACCCTGCCTCGCAGAGGGGTCTCTCGCCTGCTGCTGGGCTGGAGCACAGCTACGAGCCTCGTGCTCCCACCTAATAAAATGCTTACTCACTTCCAGGAGGCACTTTGACATCCTTGGCCGCACAGAGCGAGATAAGGACTATAAAAAGACCGTATTGCTATTATAGGTGATACAGCAATATGTATCCTCAAATGAAAGATCCTTTGTAAGCCTGGTTATTATTCTGGCACTAATCTCGGAGCTCTCTCTACGGACTCAACTCAGCTCAAGTGTTAGCAGGCGCATCTCCACTGAGAAAGAGGACTGCGAGGTGTCACGCTTACCTTCTGGTGTTTCAGTTTATCCTCTGTCATCCCAAGTTGGGAAAACACTTCCCTCCTCTCCCGCGCATGTCAAAATCATCGCTTGCCATTTAGATTTCGGGAGCCAAATATAGCCCTAGTATAAACAGGTGCGAGTCTGCATATGTCAATAGAATTACACCTGCTTATAATGGGTTTACATTTGGCCCTTGAGCCCTGGGGATCCCTGTGGGAGCAGAAGCTGTATTAAATATTAAGGGCCTTATTCTCCACCCTTGCCTACGCCGTGGTAATTAAATCTCAGTGCAGCCCCATTGATTTTCAACCTCGCAAGAAGGTAGCGCTCAGCACGAGGGAGGGGGCAGCGCTGTCCCCTCAAGGAAAAGCACATCCATTTTGCTGCTCGCGGAAATCTCACCAAGAAGGAGACGGTTCTGAGCAGTAAGCATTTGCAGAATGTGCTTGGGCAAAAGAAGGCAAATGGTCTAAAATTAAACATTCGCTGCAACTATTCCCTATTCCTTCCTGCCTGTGAAACCAGCACGGCCGCATGGTTTGCGATGCATCTTTTGGGCTCCCGTGTCCATCTGTGCCACGACCGATCTCTCCCCTCTCTGGTGTAAGGAACCCTTGGAGCCAGACCTTCCTTTTTGCTCCTGGAGCAGAGCAGTTCCCATCTCCAGCTCTGCCCATTCCTTAGGCAAACCCCACAGCTGCTCCTGGTGATCCACCTGCAGCCTTTTACCTGTGTAGGTATTACTGCCAGCTTGTGATCTTTTGAGTTCGCAGGGCTGAGAAAAAAACGACTTTGGTTTTTCTTTAAATGCCAAGTAGCCCAGAAGTGTGACGCCTCATACTGTGCTGTTATTCTTTCCAATTGAAACCTAATGATGCGTGCATATCACTTAACTCTGATGTCAATAATCAGCACACCACTTGGTCTTCGCTGTGGCTATTAGAGGGAATGAAAATGAAATACCAACTCCTTTTTATCCTGTTACTGTACCATAATAACTAATAAAGGAGTAATAAGTGAGACATGGGGAATTTCCAGGGGATTCATTACGACAGAGAAGACCTAAAGGCACAAAGTGAAATCCAGGAATATTAGCCAGCCCTGAAATCCCAGCCAGCGCTTCTCATTTAAGTAATACTGCTGCCGTAAAGTAGGTGTTTACAGAAAAAAATAATACTTGGAAAGTATGTCTGGGTCTTGACCAGAGCAGGGGAGTGGAGATTGACCCAGAACCGAATATAGTAAAAAAATGGCAAGTAAAAAAATGGTAAAAACTAACCCCTCCCTAGGTGTAGCAGCTAGGTGGGGCCATAGTCAAGATACTTTCCATCATTTCCTAAGTCTCACTTTTGCTCCACTACATGGGAAACATTTCCCAGGAGAGCTCTAAATCTCCTCTACCTGGTCACAGGGTGGTCTGCAGGTTTTCCAGGGACTCTTGGATGGGAGAAGCCACAGAAAGACCCCAGAGCAATCGGCAGAAGTAAATCACGTAAGGAAATACCGAGCCTATGAGATTGCAAATCACACACAAATTGGACAGTACACTTTCTGGCTTAGAAATTATTGAATTACTGGTTAGGACAAGCAGTCATTTTTTGATGGTTGTGTACGTAGGGGGGACAGTGGGTTTCTTTGTTTCTCCTCCCTGCAAATAAACTGCCATTTATCCCTCTGCACGTCAAAAACCTGTCGCTGCCTCGGAACGAGCCCGGCTCCAGCATCTGCCAGGGCAGAAGCCCGGGGTCAGCACAGCAGAGCCTGGTGCAGGGCACCAGGGACCTTTACCTGCCACCGCTTCATCCACCCTACCTGTAGCTGCTCACCCTGAGAGCAGCACCCACCACTTGGGTGCCCTGGGCAGGAGGGCACTTACTGCACCCTACGGCCCCGTGCTTAGCCCCCTGCCTTACATCAGCAATCAGGGATCGGTTAAATCCCAGAGCACATCCTCCCCGTTCTCAAAGCACTTCCCAGCCATCTGATTTCCCCCTCTCCGCGTTCCCGCTCTGTTTATCCTATTAATTCCAGCCACCCCCTCTTCCCCCAGCGCGCACACACACACGCAGCCTCCTTCTCGGCATCTTCGCCAGCAGCAGCCTCCCCAAAACACGCAGGGCGCAGCACCGCTAACTCACACGTGCGGGGAAAACCCTCGTGACCGGGTTTTTTTTCCTCGAGCGAACGCGATCCCATCATCATTTCATGAAAAATAAAATAAAATATAAACGGCACGATTGGTAAAGAATTCAATAAACACATGAAAACACTCGGGGGAAATAAAACAACCGAAGGGGGGTGGCCGAGCCTGGCCGCGGCTCGGACGGGGCGGACCCCGCAGCCTCGCCGGGGCCGGGGCTGGGGCCGGAGCCTCCCCGCCCGCAGCCTCCTCTTCCTCGGGCGCTTTCCTCGCCTCCCTCCCTCCCTCCCCCGCCGCTCGCATTTCCTCCCTGCACCTTTAAGAAGCACATTGCCCGCCGCTGGGATGGGGTGTGCTAAAGCTGCACAGAGGAAGTTACGCAGCCCGGATCAGGCACGGGGATAAAAGCTCCGCTGGGGATTCAAACGGGACCGCAGCCTCGGCGCTAACTTGAGAAGGGAGCCGGGCATCGAGCAGGGCTCCGGCTGCCCTCCGGGGGGGCCCCCCCGGCCCCGAAGTTGGCGGCTCCGCCGGGAGCCCCCCCCCGCCGCAGAGCTCCCCCCCGGTAAGGATGCGCAGCGCCGAGCCCCGGGGAAGTTGGGGTGCGGGGACCCGGGGGCTCCCCAACCTGCCGCCGGGAGATGGGGGTGCTGACGACCCCAAAGCCGTGTCCTCCCTCCCTCCCCGAGCCGCTGCTGACCCCAAAACGTCCCCCCCGAGCCGCTGCCCCCCTGGCGGGGCGGTGGCAGCGCGACCCTCCAGCTGCGGGGAGGCATCGCTCCCCTTCGGACTTTGCCAATAAGTGATGCGGAGCCGGGGAGGCTCGCCTTTTGGGGTTCTTTCCCCCCTCTTTTTACTTTTAACCTAGTCCTTGAATGCTCTCGGAGTGCTTTAGGGTGAAAAAGAAACCCCGGGCGAGGTGGGGAAAGGGTTTGAGCCGAGGCACGAAGGCGTTCCGGAGAGCGGGGCGGTGGGAGCGGATTGACGGGGCTGAGATTTACGGGTCGGAGACTTACGGGGCTGAGACTCCGAGCTCGGAGACTTACAGGTCTTTCTGCTGGGAGCACGGGGCTGCTCCTCGGAGCTTTGCGACGCCGTTCGTGCAGTCCAACCTCCCCTCGCAGCGCTTGCAGAGCGGGCATTCCCCAACTCCGCTGCTCGGGGGGAAGGGGCTGACGAGCGAGGAAAAGAAGGGACAAAAACTCTCACGCTCCGTCCCCACGGGGAGAAGAGTGGCTCGGGTTGATTTCTAAGGCAACTTCTGAGATCAAAAACTCCTTCACTGAGTTTACTTTGTCCTTAATTGCAGGGCAGCTCAGTTGTTGCTGTGTTGTCTCTTGTGTTCAATTGGGTGTTAATCCAATAATAATTAAAAAAAAAAAAGAACCAGCTAAGTCAAGATACAATCTAATTTTGTGGTTTTAATACCCTGGCTATCAGTCCCTTGCGATTGCTGTGTACTCTTCAAAGACAACAAAGAGCATTAATTCTATTTGTTCCCATGAACTGCAGTTTCTTAATAATATCAGGTGAAGATTTATTTTGCGAGGATCAGACCAAACCGAGCAGGGCAAAACCTTCAGCTCAGGAAGTCTCTCCCCCGTTGGTGGTGTGCTGACTTATTTCAGAGCCACGTCGTGCTACTATTTCTGCAAAGGGACTGTAACGTTCAAGTGTTGCACCGCAGACTTCCCAGGGAGCCAGCACGCCTGTTTGATTGACTGACTGTAAATTCCCAGGCAAATTATTTCCCTGGGAATCCGCAACATTTAGCAAGCATAACAAGAAACTAATAGATATTATAGATCCTTTCTTCCCGGGTTCTTCCCTGACAGCCACTCAAGCGCAAGATATGGTTTTACAGCTATGAAAATAGATCCATAAACTTAACAGCACTGGAGTCCTCATTAAAACTCCTGCTTGTTTTATACACAACGCTGAAGTCTCACGCGCTCTGATGTTATTAGGCACTTGGCTGTGACCAGTTTGGTGTAATAATTAGGAACTGACTTATTATAACTGAAAAGACAGCTCTGATGTCAGCGGGACTTATAAACACTGTGTCACACCGTTTTATTATTTTTACTACATTTACTCATAATGTAAAAATAGCAGCCAGCCTATTCTTTGGGAGTTTATTCGGGTCCAACGCAGCTATAATAGGCTCTTCTTTGAGAGCTAGCGATGAAGCATGAGAGATAGCTTCTCTTTTCTGAACTCATTCATCTCAATCAGAAATCTTTCAACTAAAAAAGGGGGGGAGATGGGGGGAGATGGCAGCACAGCAATATGAATCCCCCAAACATGGATCAATGCGTCTGTTAACCTGGTGTTTCTGAGCTTTAGTAACTGAGCTTTATGAGAAAGCAAATACTAAGCATGCTGTTGAGGCAGGCATCTCCAAATTCTGGGAGAAAAGTTGGGGAATCCAATAGAAAGAGAATTAGCCAGAGCTGAATTTCTGTTCTGGATGCATGCCTCCCACCTCCTCTTATGAGATTTCTCCCCAGGATCTAATGCTGAGAGAGGGTTTGACTCTCTCTTTTCAGTTCTTTGTCATTTTGTTTTGTAATTACTTAAGATTTTTATAGCTCTATTGGAAAGACAACAAAATTGCAGAATTGTTGTTTTAACCTGAAATGAATACTGGGAAGGTCATTGCTCTTTGTATTAGGTGAACCTTAAACGTTATTAGAACTTTAAATTGTTTTTTATTAAATGTTATTGTTCAGATAAATCATATGTGGAGATGCTGGACAATGTATCTGTCTCCCCAGCTGTCTTATTTATTCGCTTATCTTTTTAAGACATTCAATTTATCTGTCTGTCCCTGGTCTGTCTGCATATTCTCCATCTTCTAATGACCTACAGCTACTCCTTGATATTATTTGAAGACCCATTAGAGCTATTGTTGTCCAGCTGCTGTTAAAATCAGATACCTTAAATGGGGCAGCGCTCCTTCCAATCTCCCAAACAGCAGAAGAGCCATAAGCATCTTACTATGGATTTCTTTTTATTAAAGTTGTATATCTCCCTTTTACAAAAAACTGGCTTGTGTCTTGGGAAGCCCGGCCGAGGGCTGTATTTCCCAGGGGACCCATGTTCTTACAGGTCTTGTTGCTCCAACTGCACCTCCTTTTCCCCCAGCTAATTTGTCTTTCAATTTGTTGCAGGTGCAGCCTGCTAATGAACTCTCCCTTTGCCCTGATCATGCAAGAGAAACGAGACCTCAGGTAGCAGCATGACTTGGAGCTGAAGGCTTGGGAACTCGATGCTCCGTTGCCAAAAGGCACAGTCAGACAAACCTCCGTACGCGTACACCAGCTCCTCACCACAGCTGCAAGGAGCAGAGGGAGAAGCAGCGAGGCCAGCACTGCTCCCACCGCTGCGCTGAGCGCCCAGCAGCCTGCTCAGACCCCTGCAGATGCCGCCCCCCGACACAGGAACACCGATGCCATCACCGTCTGGGAGAAGGGGAGGTTAGCCCCACAGAGCCTCTCCTGTCAGCGCCGTGCTGACGACCAGATGCTGTAGCTATCTCACTAATGTTCAAAAGCCCCAATAATTATTTCAAGCAGACCCCAGGTTAAGGCACTTTACCCAGTGGCGCATCTGCAGCAGACAAGAAGGTTGAGGAAAACCTGATCCAGCACCATCTCCCAGCCTCTCCAATTTACTGCTATCAAATTTCATCAGCAACTCAGAACTTGATCTTTCTATTGATTGACTGGAGTCACCTCTAGATATTTTCATGCTGATTTGGAAGCCCTTTCGTACAATAAAAGCAGAAAAAATGAGGTTAAGGAAGACTTTTGACCACTGAACAGCAATTCCAGCCAAAACTTTCCGAATCAAGTAATTTGCAAAGTTGGCTTCTGCGCCGAGAGAAACTCTCTGTGCCTGAGCACGGCATACAAAGTGGGATCGTTCCTGTCCTCGCCTTGATCTCCTTGGACTGGATCATCTTTAGATGAGGAGTTTCCATGCTGATCCTGAGAGCACCCCCTAGCCCAGTAGCTGCCTTCCTCAGGACTCTTGGCACTGCCCCTGCCCCGGGATCCCGCACTCGGCCGCAGCTGCCATGCTGTACCTGCTCGCCCTCCTTCTGCACCGTCTCCCCTTGGCCATGGGACAGTATGACATTTGCAAGTCCTGGGTGACCACAGACGATGGCCCGTCATGGGAGTTTTACGCTTGTCAGCCCAAGGCCATGCGGATGAAGGATTATGTGACAGTGAGAGTGGATCCGGCAGGAATCACCTGCGGGGACCCTCCGGAGCGGTTCTGCACCCATGTAAGTATTTCCTTCCTTGTTCGATGCGCTGTAAGAGGCTCTGCTTGTAGGTGGCCAGGCACAGCGTCCTGCTGAGGTGCTGCTGGAGGAATATTTCCACTCAGGGTGGCAATGCTGGCTGCCACCTTGAGCCCCCAGTCTCCAAATCTGGGAGATGGGAAGAGTTCTCTGCTCATCTTGGTGCTGCGCGAGGGGTGGGGGCCCGTGAGCGGGGACAGGGCAGTGCACCGAGGGGTGGGTGAGGAGCAGAAAGACAAGAACTGTTCCTGGTCTGAGTTTCAGAAGCACAGCTGCCAGCAGCAGCAGCCCGAGCTGCTCTGAGCACACACACCCGCCTGCTGAAATGCGTGGTGGGCTCACCAGTCCCACACCAAAAGGCTGCGGAGGCCAGGGACTTCCCTGCTGGTATTGCCCACACCAGGGCTGTGCCAGAGGCGGGCACCTTGTCTCGGTGTATGAGCGGGGGTCAGGACAGCAGAGGCCAGGGGGAGCTCAGGGTCGGCTGGTCAAACACTACAACTTTCCCCAAAGTCCCTGAAAACGCAGCTCTCCCTTCCTTCTGGTCTCAGCGTGAGAAGACTTTGTGGACAGACACTTGCCCTTGTAGTTAAAATCTTTAACTTATTTTCCCTTAAATATTAATCATTGCATTTCATTCCGTGCACCACAAAGCTCAGCAGGAGCATTTGATTTATAATTCACAAGGCTTTATGTTGTTAAAAAGAGTTCAGGGGTCAAAGCAGAGAGCAACCCAGCATGGCTGCAGCGTCCTCTGCCCTGTGGCAGTGGCGCAGGGCACAGCGACAAAGGCAGCCCCTGCTGATGGGGCTTCCAGCAGGGAGAGCACCGAGCAAGGAGCAACTTCTAAAGTACGCCACCCTACTAGCTGCAACACAAATAGGTTTTCTTATTTAAGTCAGCAAAAGAGAGAAAGGAGTCCCAAATTCTGTTGCCAGCTTTAACCAGGCTTGGGTACCCCATGCCTCAGTTTCCCACCTGGAAAACAACCTGGGCCTAAGCAGCTTGGGGCTTTTCTTGAAAATTCAAGAGAATAAACACTCCTTTGATGCATCAAAAGACTCCAAGCATTTGAGACCATCACGACATGACACCACTATTTACCCCATTCTCTCCAGCCTACCGGGAGGGCTCATTAGAGCCAGAGCTGTTTTCACTAATTCCAGATACGCAGCAGCTTTTCCCTTTAAAAGATCATTCGAAAGAAAAGATCGAGCCAAAGGCTGCAAATAAAAGAGTTAACTATTGATAAGGCGCTCTGGATTCCCATTTATCTGGCTGGCTGCAGAAGGATTAGAAGGTGAACAGCAGATTGCATTCTCCTAAATTCACGGCTGCTATTTGCAAATGCTCCCTGGCTGACGGTGCGCTGGGCTCCGGCTCCACTGCCCTCTGAGGAAGTAAAAGACACCAACAGGAATCAGCTCTCCGCATCTCTTGCTTCAGTCAATACTGAGCTAAAATCTTTCTATTCTGGGCACCAGCAGCGTTTCCCCGTAGCGTACGCCTGCCATGTGCTGTAACACTTGCAAACACCGCGTACGTCCCTGAATGAGCGTTGCACAAATGCAGAACATGGATTTGCCTTCCTGTCCCTGCCTGACCCCGGCGGGAGCACGCCCAGCCCAGCCTTTGTCTGGCAGCACAGCAGCAGTCATCCCCAGCAAAATCCCTGATAAAGTCCCTGGCAGAGACACGAGCTCAGAACAGAAGCACTACACCACACGTTATTCTTCATATTTTTTTTCGGATAGGTTTATGAAATCCCACCTTATTTATTGCCTCGTCTCTCACACCTCACACCAGTGCTGCCCTCTCCAGAGGATCAGAGTTTCTAAAATGAAGCCGATGAACTCCAGCACTGATGAGCCCACCAGCATTTAGCGCACAGAGCAGGAGACGGGGTGAAACCCGTGCCTCGGGACTTGTGCGCGTGGAGGCCGTCAAGGCACATACTCAGGGCCCTTGTCACGGAGAAGGGCACGCGGCCACTTAGTGCTGAGCATCCCCTTACGGTCGGTGTAAGGCGGAATCAGCAAGAAGCGGCCTCTCCATCACGGGCCCTGGGTGGTGACTTGACACCTATTGACATGCAGAGAGGCAGGCAGCGGATGTGAGCGGACTTGTGCTAGCCCTGCGCAGGGGAAGCGCTGGACAAAAATCAATGCCTGCTGCCCGCCGATCATTGCGACCTCAGAGCCTGGTCCTCGCTGCGAGGGGAAGGTCGCAGCTTGCACAGCCCTGCTGGGGCTGCCCATGGGGTCAGCGGTTCCCACCCGAGCCCTTCGCTGCCAGCCCGCCCCGATGCCTTTCCCTGTCCCCTTACCCTTTCTCTTCAGGTTTTTAATTGTTTTCATCTCAAACGAGCCCAGCTTCCCAACAGAGAGGTTCTTACGGTGGCTATATTGCTTTCTTAGGTGTCTTTCAAAACAGCAGGGTACTGCCCATGAAGTTAAGCTAACATTACTAAGAATTAAGCACAGCCCGGCGGGACGCCTGCGCTGCTCAGACAACTGAAATCAAAGTTACAGACACACAAACATCCCTGGGTGCTGGATTTGAGCCGTGCTCCTGCACACAGCACCCCTGGATGAAGGTGCAGAGCCCTGCTCGGGCACCAGCAGCAGGGCCAGGACCCTGCGAGCATCTCCTGCGAGGCTCTGACCTTCCAGGCTGTGCCAGTGCCCGGGAGGCTTTGCACAGCCCAAAGGATCACTCACAAACTACAGTTTTACCAACTCACAGCAGCCCTCAGAGTTCTGCAGAAGGAGGCGCCTGGGGGATTGCAGGAATTATTGGGAGGATTGGCTTTTCTCAGTTTTACAGCAATTTCTAGTCACATCTGGCTGCTCCGTTCTGGCTGTGCAGCGTTTTGCTGCCTATTAAAGTCCCAAGTTTTTACTTTTTTTTTCCCCCCACAGCTCTTGAGCTGTCTCCTATCCATGTCAGTGCCCTTCTGGCAGGGTTACCTGAAAAATGAATTGTGCTTTCCCTTCTGGCAGGGCAGGGGGGAGCGGTGGGAGCAGGAAGACAGATGGATGAGCAAATAAAAGCCTGAACGATCTGAAGGCGCGACCGGAGACTAACAGGGAACAATAGGGAACGGGGCTTTTAACCAAGGCTGCCGAGGGGAGGGGGAAAACTTCAAAGACCCAGATCAGGGCATAAAGCAGCAAAACACAAATTTCAAACCAGATTTCAAATGGGAGGTGCTGGCCAGAGGGGCCCAGCCAGGAGCCCCAGGCACGCAGGGGGTGCAGGAAGGTGGCCCAGCCCCAGCACTGAGCTGTTCCCCATTGCTGAAACACCTCTTTGATACCGGCCTTGGAGAATTTCACCTTCAAGCTTTGGCACTTCGCACACCTGATAAAAAAATAACCCACAGGTTTTGTGGGCAGTTTATGTACAGGTGACGGGGAGCGAGCAAACATCACGGCCACGTTCCCTGTTCCAAAGGGGCTGGCGGCTCACTGGGTTTCCAAATCGTTACAGCAAAGGTGAGGGGAATGAGCAGAGGTGTCGGGAGCTGGCTGCCACCACGGTGGTTCTGCTGCTCCTCAACACCCTGGCGAGAGCTGCCTACAACCCTCGAGATCGGAGCTTTTTTTTCCAGAGGTGTCGAGACAGTATTTCTTCTTCAGACAGCGCTCTTTGATGCAGGGCCGAGCTCTTAGCCCATATTGATGGGTCAGGGGTATTTTTATTTAGCGTCAGCATTGTTTCATCAGCTAATAGAGCTTGTTGATTTTGGCACGGGTACATGAAAGGAAAAGGTTTTATTTATTCATTACGCATTCAGCCAAATTTGATGTTTAGTTTAATTCTTAGCTAAACTTTCTGAATGGCATGGGTTTATAAGGCTTGTGCTAAAGAGCTATTTCTCTTCTGAGACCAGCTGCTAGCGTAGGAAAAAGCAGACAAACTTTTAGGCACAGAAGTCCTTTTTCCTAGGCTCTTAGCCTGTGTCACATACTGCAGCACCTGGCAGCATCCTCACACCCTGGTTTAGGTACAAACAGATGACTGTGGGTCTGGGGGTGATTAAAAACAAAGTCAAAGTTCTTAAAGAAGAAAAGTGGAATTGCTTCACAGATGCTCTTCCAAAGGCATTTGTAAAGATGCAGCCTGAGCTGGTGGTTAAAGGACGGGTTCATCCCTGCTGGTACCCCAGGCAGTGACAAGATCCACGGCCCTTCCCCAGCCTGGGGGGCAAAGTGTGAGTGGTCCTCAGCCTTGCAACCACCCCGAGACTCGAGGCCACCCTTTGGGCTGAGCAGAGCCCGTACACGAGTCAAGTCCTTTCCAATAAGAGGGGATGTTCTCCCTCCCTGAACGAATCAGCAGCACCCACAGTTGACTGCAACCCCAGCCTTGGCCATAGCAGGGGGCTGGGTGCCAGAGCTCCCCGTTGCCCCTCCTGGCAGGAGCTACATGGCACTGGGGACAATTACTTGACCCTTGTGCCAACATTCAGCAGCACAAGAAGCCCACTCTTAGCTGTCAAAATGGCTCTGAGAACTCAGTCAGGGGCAGAAAACCTCATCTTTCTTTCCACATCTGTGAAGCGCTAACAGCCCTGCTCTCCCCATCAGCCCTCCAGAACAGAAATGACACCTGGAAAAGCCTCCTCTGTCCTTTGAGGAGTGCCTGGAAAAGCCAACTTGATGCCATTTCCACCAGGATGAAGGTTTCCCAATTCACCGACTGCATCCCTTGCAGCATTGCTTTCCAGCATGGGGGAAAAGGGCTGGGGTCTTTTGGATATATTCCCCAGTTTGATCTCTTCTCAGCTCCAGGGCTGCTGCAGAGAACAGTCTGAAGTCAAGACCAGTGGCTCCCTGCCCTTGGGGCCAGACCCTTGCATGTTATCAGCTGCTCAGCAAATTGCACACCACCACTCTCCTACCACAGAGGCTACTCTAGTGCAGCAGGATCTCGGCGTTATAAAAGCAGAGGCTTTACAGAAAATGAGAGAATACAGC